TCGGCATTCAATTGTCTGTACACGCAGCTCTGGGTAAGTTTCTACAAAGAGAACAAACCTGGGAGAAGTCTCTCAGGTTATTTGAATGTGTGTACATAGCCTTAGTCTCAATGAAAAGCATTTAGCTTTTTACACACCAGCTTTGATCAGACACATTCATTCCTTTCAGCATAACAAAGTTGTATAAAATCCTTTTGTACATGTACTGTGATTCATGTTTCATTCACTTCCCCACCCCCCTTTATTTTGTAGCTGATGAAGACACCACTTGGTTCCTGTGGCATGGAAAACTGGCAGTCTGTTTACACACTGAAAGAAAAGACTAAGCTAATAGACATGGAGATGTTCAAAGATCAGTGTGTGATGTTTCTGAAATACTACAATCATCTTTATTTAAATGTGATTTCTCTTGGTTCTCACTCTGTTCAGTCTGTTGAGGTACATTTCTAGATCTGTGTTTTTATATGAATCACTTTCCCATTTGATTTTGAATACATACCTTTAAAGTGAAAATTAATATACATGTCATCAGATGAGATGCTTTGTAAGAGTGACAACTTGTTCTTATGGTACCTTCAGGTGTCTGTTACTGTTTTCTCTGACTTCATATTACCATGAAGCCTGTTATCATACGTCTAGTTCCTATTGCTCTTGCTCAGGTAAAGCACTACCTTTACTCCCCAGCCAGTCTCATTGACTTCACTAGGTCTGTTGATTGTCATGCTGTTTAGTATGAGTAAGGAAATCCTAATGTGACTATCTGAAAGGAGCAAGCTAGATATCTGGAGGCAGTTGTGCCTGATGAGGCATTCTGAAGACCAGAGTGCAACAAAAACATTCCACAGTGGTGAAATATTGAAAAGGAGATTCATGTTTCAGTTGCAATACGACTTATGAAAAGGCATATTTCTTCCTTTCTCCATGTACCAAATTTTTGTTGTGGCTTAGAAATTAAAAGGCAACTCGTTCTCAAAAATGCATTATTTTCTGTAACAATTCAATCACATGCCTTAAAATTTCAGTTTCTTTAGATTTATTCCAAAACAAAGACTTCTGAAGAATTTTTGCCCTATTTGCAATGAGTTACTAATGTGAAATTCAACAATATATTAATAGTGTTCCTTTAGTTAAGTATAGTATGCTTTCTGCACAGTTACTGAGATGGTTGCCTTTTTAAATTATCTTGTTCAGTTACTCAATTGTTCAGAGAAGGGACTTCAATTTCTCTGTAAAACTTCGACTTTTAGTGCCACAATTTCTGAAGCTTCCATCAACCTGCTAACCAAAGCTCCTTAAAGTAAGCAAGCTGTGGTCTAGCAGAGGGCTTGACGCAGGAACCTGCTGCTTCCAAAGAATGAATCTTGATTCCTTTCATTTTTAGTAGAGTTAAAAATCTTACATAATAGCAGCGAGTTTCTGAGGGTAGATGTGCCAAGAAAAGGTTTTGTTCTTCACAATGGTGAGCATTGGGAACAAAGTTAGAGGTAGGGGTTTTAAGTGGCTGAGCACTACTGAGCTAACTCATGGCAATGGAGTAATAACTGACATTGACTTGGCTTTATTACAAGTTGAACAAGAAGTGGAGATCAAAGGGAAATGGGAAATGAAAAAATTATTAAAAATACAGTATCATTCAAGGTCATATTGAAACAGAATGCATTAATTATAATTTTTTTTAAATGTTGCTAATATTCTCATTTTAACTGGCACCTTGAATATCACTGCATACATATTCTCTCCTTTATGACAAACTTTAGAATTAGGTTATATTTTCAATTTTAAGCAATTGTTGAACCTCCATTCAGTGACTTTAGAAGCAGGTTTTAGCTAAATTCTTCCACTCAGTGACACTGTTTCATTATATATTTTAATTTAAAAGAAATTAAGCTTCTGTTAAAGTCAAGCAGAACATAATTAAGCATGATGCTCAAATCTTTTAATCTAAGAGGCAGCACTGGACATAGTTCGAAAAGCAATATAAGGGTCTCACTTTAAATGTTGGGATTGTTAATGATCTGCATTTTCACAGCTACCTGCCTGGGCCTGTGCATTTGAATTGGAACCCCATCCTGAGTACAACACCAGTGCTTGCTATTTTCAGCTTGCCTCCCCTGTTCAGCCCCCTAAACGTTTTGCATATTCATTGGTGGAAAACCATCTCATTGAGCAAGTTGAGCAAGAGGTACCAATTACACTGAATTGTCACACTGTACATTTAACAGCTAAAAGCAAGGTAAGATTTTTCAACTGTTTTGCCCATCCCCCACTACTTTTCTTTTTCCCCCCTTTAGAAAAACCGCATTTGCAAAGGAATAGGGATTACAAACCATAAGGAACAGTGGGTTCTACACTTACTAGAACAGTGGGTGTTTTCTCAGATGATCTATAAAAGCAGGGGAAAATAGGCATTAGGATTTTTTTTCAATTTTTATTAACATCAGGGTGATAAAAGAAAAAGGAGGGATACATGCACACTATAATACAAAAATTGAAGTATTTTCTTCTTTATGTGACATTACCAGTTGGTACAGTTCACCATATCCTGCTTGATAAATAAAGGGAAAATATCAGTTGTTTTAAAATATAACATAGTGTGTGCCTGTCAAACAAGGAAAGTTTTAACAACCTTTTGTGGGGGGGAGGGGGTTAGTAAAAAAAAAAAATGGGGACGTTAAGTTAATAAGAGTTTTCTGCTGCAGTAAGTGCTAAACTATTCAGTTCATAATACATATTGGTGTTGTTATGGGAGGAGTGAAGAGCTGGGTGCTTTGATACTTTAAAAACACCACAGGTGTTGCACTTAAATGAATGTTACACTCTGCATCAGTAAGCCAGCCCAGCGGAGGTTCAGTCTCTTGCTTTATTTTTCAAGAGGGCTTTGTACAATCTAAGTGAAAAAAATTACTGTAATCAAAAAAAAAAAAAAAACCCACTTCTTAAAATAAATAATTGAAGTTTTCATTGCCATGTGTCACTGTGAATTCTGAAACATCCTTTAATGTAAAATACTCCTTCATTTTCAGGATGAAACTTTGGTGCCAATTACAGTTTTTCATAATACGAATTCTAAAGAGCTACACAGGAAACCACTTCTAGTTCATGTATATGGAGCTTATGGCATAGATTTGAACATGAGCTTTAAAGCTGAGAATTTGATGTTAATTGACAATGGTTGGATATTAGCATATTGCCATGTTAGGTGAGTCATAGATATAAAATGGCATAAAGATCTTTATTTGTGGGTAATAATGGGCTATATTTCTCAAGGCATTGGAGCAGATAGAAAAAAACCTTTTAATTTTCTTGTTTTTATTATAATGATTCCTGTATCCTGCCATTTCCATTTATCCATAAAACTCCAGATAAGCTGTTTATTATTTTTGTAGTTCTGGTACAGTTTAATTGCCTTGAAGAAAATAAGGTTAAGTTCACAAGATCCCTATACTGTGCTCAAAGGCTTTCCACTTATCTATAGGATAATAGTATTGGGCTTCTGTCATTTTTCACTATGTTATTTATAATATTTTTTAAGCTTTCCTGATGTTCAGTATTTTCTGTAAATACTTCACTTATCGTTGCTAAAAAAAATCATGATTTCTACTATTAGATTCAAAATGAAATGTTTTACCATCATCCTGTTGGTCTTAGTCCGATAAGATGCACTACTATTTGATCTATATCTAGTGAGGGGGAGGGCCTACTTGCTTTCTTAAAACAATAGCGTCCAAGGCAGTGTATAAACAAAACAAGAAGTGTGTGTGTGTATGACACTTGTAAAGTGAGCTAAATGCTTTTGTACTGCTTTAATGATGTCGGTGTTTGCATGCCTTGGCGATGTATTGTGCGTTAATTCTAGCCACTGTATGAAATTCAGCGGCATAATGCACCTTAAATGACTTGGGGCGCAGCAAACCAAAATTTTCCAATGCGTTTTAGTTTGCTGCCCCTACAGCCGCAGAGCGAAGCACTGGGCTTCATGCAGCTCCACAGCTCTACAGGGAGCCCTGCAGGCAGCCTGACAGCAGCCCGGGAAAGAAGGCTCCACCCAAGAAAAGCAGCAAGCCTGATCTTTTTTCCTTTTTTTCCTCCCCATGGAGCCTGCCTGCGCTGCGTGGAGGCCCAGTGCTCCCCTCTGCGACTGCAGTGCATGCCGGGACCACCTGAGCTGGGTGTCTGCAGGCAGATGCTGCCTGAGGGGAAGGGCACAACTGCTGTGGCAGGAAGCACTACCCCCCACAGCCCAGGAACCGTTCTGCCCACTGGCAGCTTGCCCTCCCCTCCCTGCCGGAGAGGCAGGTAAGCCAGCAGGATGTGTGCACAACATGTGGATTTAATCAGCCCTAAATTGCAGCGGTGTTTTTTAAAACCTTTTTTATTCATTTGATCAGAGATAATTCACAAAAAACAGGCTTTTCATATATGTTCCTTTATTGGAAAAATATTGCTCAAATTAGATTAGATTAGTTTAAAATACTATATATTGCTTGTGACATCAATTTCAATGCAAATTCAGTTCAAGTCCACAAATATTTTTACACTTTGACAATATGTCATAGTACATATATTCATAAATAGTATTTTTTCATTAGCATCTTACAGTTTAGTCCAGTCCTATTTTACATTGACCACATAGCAGATAAAGAATCTGACAATCTAATCCACTACGGTTTTATTTAGGCTTCTCACAAAATCATTCTAACATTTAAAGTAGTCAGCTACTAGACTCAAAATACTTGTTTAGTGAAAAAGATTTTGAAGATACTTGCTACAATAAACTAAAAATATCTTCATGCAAGTGTTTTAAAATGAAATTTATCATTTCTCTGACATGTTTGCAATCTATACTTGAGTGTTGCATAACTATATAAGATCCAGAAAGTGAAATTTACTAGTCAAGTGCCATAACTCAAACTGAAAAACAAATCATGAGTGAACATAGATGCAAAATCGTGTTTTTTTCATCTTTATTAATGGTGCTGCATGTAAAACAAGTATGGAAAAAGGTTGTGTTTGTTTTTAACCTGACAGTTTCTCTGTAACAGGGTCTGTGTACATGCATATGTAAGAAATACATACATATACACAGTATTCTAAAACATTGATACACTTTGATTGCAGCCTTTTGCAATTACATACTACTTTCTGGATGACTTTCTGAAAAATTCACGCTAACTAGATGCTACGTGAGCATGCTGAGAGAGACTGATAGCACATGTATGTGCTAGCTATTTTGTGGAGATTTTACTGAAGTTGCACACTTTTTCTTACATATTTGTAATTAAGAAGATGACTGCAGGTCTTTGTAGACAATTATATGGGGATGAAATGTTAATTAAGGATGGTAAAACCTTGCTTTACATTATCATGGCTGCTAACTTTTTACTGTTTGAAAGGTGGCTGCATAACATTCCCCAGACAGTTTACAGCTTGACTGCTTTAAATTTCAGGGGTGGAGGAGAGTTAGGCCTTGGCTGGCATAGAGATGGATGTAAGCATAATAAACTCAATGGTTTCTATGACCTAAAGGCTTGCATGATGCTGCTGCATGAAGTAGGATTTTCTCAGCCAAAGTATACAGCTCTGATAGGTGCCAGTGCAGGAGGAGTTCTTGCTGGAGCCCTTTGCAATGCTGACCCAGAACTCTTCGGAGCCATGGTCTTACAGGTGAGGCTGTAGATCTCTGATGGAATACAGGGTTAAACAATGTGCTTTTTGTTTTACCACTCTTATTTTGTTTCACAGTTTCCTGCTCATTGGAAGGTTATTTAAGGGGGGTGGGGATCAATGCAATATTTTATATGTGGGAAGAATCAGATATATTCACTCTGAAGAATTAAGACCAGCGAACAGGAGTGTAGGTTGTAGTGTGTTGGTCTAAGGACATAGGCAGACAAGGTTCCTCTGGCTTCTTTACTTTTCATTCCATCCAGGAAGAGCACACACCAGCTGCTGAAACTTCCTTATCCTGACGAAGGGTTTTTGAACCCAAAAGCTTGCTTAATAACTATTCTCCAACTATTTAGGTTGGTCTAATAAAAGATATCAGATTCACCCAAGGAACCTTGTCAACCAGGGGAACAGGAATTTTAATAGTAACCTAGAGGGAAGTGAGACTAAGGATTTGAGTAGAGGTAGAATCAAAAGACTGTGCTGTATAGGATGTGGGCATAAGGAAATAATAAGTAATTACCTGGAATAATCTTTTTCTCAGTTGTTTTCATAGCTAACTTACAGAAAAAGTCTGAATGACTATAGGCTTGATTCAAAGCTCTTTGAAGTCATTGGGAGCCTTTTCATTAGGATTTGGATCAGACCCTAAATTTGTCTTCAGTGGATTCTAAGAGTACATAGAGTCGTGAACAGTGTTTAAAGATCCAGTGCCCTCTGTTTGGTTAATTTAAATGCAAGACAATGCAGATTTGTTGTAGATTTTGGATGTGTGCACGTGATTTTCTTTTGTTTTCTTTTTTTTTTTTTTTTTAAGGCCCCTTTCTTGGATGTTTTAAATACAATGTTGGACATTCATCTCCCACTGACAATTGAAGAACAGGAAGAATGGGGAGACCCTTTAACAGATGATAAATGCATGGAGTATATTAAGAGTTACTGTCCATATCATAATATTAAGCCACAGGTAATAAAAAGCAATTATATTGTTTTGGCTCTGTGTGTGTGTGTGTGATTTTGTTTATTTTTTTAACAACAGCATACACTACTTCACAGAATGAATAAGTAAAATAATAGTGGATAATATAGTTTTTCCAAAAGAATTATTCACCCTTTTAAGTGCCTTAAACCAAAGAAAAATCCCATTCTTTTAAGAAAATGCCCAAGCTTCAGATCTGCATTCTTTAAAAGATAAATCCTTATTTAAGATGATAGGAAAACCATTGTTGAATCAATCTATTTTGCATTGTAGTATGCAATTACAAATGACTGCTGAAATGAATCAAATACTTTTCCATGAACTCAGTCAGTCTTTTAAAGCTATTTGTTACAGGCATGCTATAAACTATTAGCTTAAACCTACTAGAAACCACTCTGCAAAACACAAAAAATACTGCTTTCTTCCTTTGTGTGAGTTTTTAAATTATTCAGTCAGATTTTCCAGACTGTCCAGACATAGAGGATAGGTACATAAATAGATGATTTCTAAGGTAATCACTGTGAAAACTTGGCACTGTGGAAAAGAGTAATACATTGGACGCATGGTTCCAATAAAGTACAGCATTGTTATTTTTGGATGGGTAACTCATTTTCTCTGACTTGACCATTATTAATACTATATTTCTTAGCTAATGATAGACTCTTGTCTATATGATTTCTTATTACATAGGATTTGATCATTTTTATGTTAAAAAAAGAATACTACCAGATTTACCACGAGACTTTGCCTGCAAGAGAGAACCAGGGCATAGCCTTAACCTTCCCTTCTGGGGTTTGCCCTGGGTTAGGAAGCACAGAAGCTGACCAGGCCAGCTGTATACTTGCTAGAGATATCCCTTCCTCCCTCCCAAGTGAATTTAATTGGGAGGGAGGCCCTAGCAGGTGTAGGGCTGGTCTGGTCAGCCTCTGTGCTTCCTAACCCAGGGCAACACCCAGCAAAAGGAATGATGTTAGGAAAATTTGAGGCTACACCTTGGTTCTCTCTTGCAGGCAAGTCTTGTATGTTAATCCGGTAGTTCTCAGATCAAACTAGTTTTTCCAAGTTAAAGAGCTGCTAAAGCAGGGCTTTAGAAAAGAAGTTGACTCCATATTAACTAGATAGAAAATATTTCTTCTATATAATTTGTCCAGTGTGGCATACTATCACGTACATGGAGACTGATTCAAAGTATAGCTTTTAAATTGTGAACATATCCAAGAAGTGGAACTGTTAGAATATTGTTAATATAATCTTTTTTTCATTTCACTTAGCATTATCCTTCAGTCTTAATCACAGCTTATGAAAATGATGAACGAATACCACTGACAGGAGTATTAAGATATATTCATAAACTCAGAAAAGCTGTAATGGATCATGCTAGCAGTAAATATAAGCAAGGTAATATTAAAAATGTCCTGTATGTCTCGTGTTTTAGCTAAGTCAACAATATTTTATTAGATGTATATTCTAGACAAAGGCTCAGGATGGCTTGCAGTTTGAGACAGAAGTAACATAAAAGCAGAAGAACAGAATGTGAAACAAAAGCTGCATAAAAAACAGAAATCCTTCAGCCTACCCTAGCTTGGCCTGCCAAACATTTGCCCAAATAGAAAGGTCATATGTAATTGCACAGCACTAGACACACACAATGAAATGTCCATAAATGCATGCCTATAGGATGTCAAGCACCATATCTGAAGTTTTGTAGGCACCCTGAATTATTTCAACTAGGCTTGCCTGAAAAATGTGCTGAAAAATGACTAGTGATAATGTTTCCACTATACCCACTGTCCAATGTTAAAAGGCACCACAACCTTTTGGATCCAAAACAAGACTTAAAATAGCTTTTAAGTATTAGATTAGTCTGATTATTTTTTGTGTTTATAATTAAATGATTGAGAACAATAAGGCCCTTGTCTTTGCAAACACAACAAAAATATACTTTTTTCCTGTTCATTTTGAAATTGCAAGTATGATAGTTTCCAGAGACATAACTGGTCACTGGGGTTTGCACCATGGTGCAAACCCCAGTGACCTTCCCCACGCATCCCACCCCAACTCCAGGAAGATGTCACTATTGCAGGGACAGGTACTGCTGATTCCCAATGCTACCAGGATATCAAAATGCTGAATTCAGGCCCCAGCCCCTCAGCAAGTGCCCCTTGACTCAAATTGCTGGTGCCACCTTTAACCCGGTACCCAAGTACCCAGTACTACTACTGTGAGTCCTAGAGATGCACTAAATTTCTACTGAAACAAAGATTATTTCAAAATTTCTGTGCAATATACTTATTGCTCAATCAGTAGCTTCCAAGAATAGTTTTGGGGGGTTGTTTTTGTTTTTTTAAAGACAAGGATTTTTGTGGGTGGTATCTTCTTTTGGACCAAGTAGGGGTAGGATAGACTAGAATTATAGATATTTAAGTTATGTTTCAGAATCCACCACATTTTACTGATGAGGAGAGCTCCTATTTCTTAGGTATAGGTCTTTAGTTTCCCTACCTCATCTACATACCTCCATCACAGCTGGTAGCCAAGCTCCAGGAAATCAGCAAAGATGCCTGCCACAGCTGTGCTGGCCAGAGGCTTTAAGAGGGAGTTCTGCCCACCTTATACATATGCTTCCTCATAACTGCATATAGATTTCAGAATCTTTTAATGCAAATAATCCATTTAGAACCCATTACATTGAGTTCATTTGTCCAATTCTATAGATCTTCCATGTTCTTGCATGGGGAACTCCAAAAATAATCTGCCCAGGAAATAAAATATCAAAGAATTCCTTGCATTCAAAAGCTTGGCTGAGAATCCCAACTGCATAGTTGGTCTAATAAAATATATCACCCTAAGAAATCGTTGCCAGGACAAAGGGTAAAAATCTGCCTCATTATTTATTTAAGACTTGTTGACCATTTACTGATTTTGTTTCAGGAAGTCCAGCACCTAACATCATCTTAAATGTTCAGACAGGAGGTAGTCATTGTGCTCCATCTTGGGAGGATTCATTAAATGAGGTATGTTTCCTCTACTATACAATTAAGGCAGAAACATATAATAAAGTGTATATTAACATTTTTAATATGAATGAACAAGAACCACTGTGATATCTGGGAGGGACTGGAAGTCAGGGCTGTCTGGTACTGTTAGCCTGCTGAATATATGACCATAAAGAAATTATTTAAACTTGATTGTACCATAGTTTCCTTATCTCTAAATGGGGATAGTAATTAACTATTCTGTCTCTAATGGATTTAGTTAATGTTTGAGTCCTTTGAGACCTTTCAACAAAAGGTCCTAAATAGTTCAAATAGGATTGTACAGCTTTTGCTATTATTCTGTTCAGTTGCAAGGTTTTAAAATGTCTCCTTATTTTAACAACCTTTCATTTCTTTCATCTGTCTTCAAGGAAAAAAAACAGTACATCTAGAACCTTAAAATTTAAGAGACGTGGTCTAAACATTCCAGATCTAAGACTGATTTCGTTATTCTAAACTTTCAACAAATAATGGCCATGAACAGGCAATCATTTCTGCTAGTGAAAATCTTTCTGGGAGAAGGAGCATATACCAGTGTTTAGTCTGCAGCTGTCTCCTCTCCCTTGCTCTCCATGCCTTTATCATACTGGGGTAATCTGAGGAACATTCAGGGAGCAGTATCCTCCATTCCACGCCTGAACACTGAAAGTGAAAGGGGCAATGGGGCAAAGCCCTAACCCTGTTCTCCAAGCAGGGCAGTGCTTGGTTTAGGGAAGAGGGAGGGAGCAGCAAGCAGGGTGCAGCGGTATCCAGGAGTAGAGCATGGGGAGGAATGGGCAAACCCCACACCTGCTCCTCTGCCCCAGAACCCTGATCTGGGGAACGGGTGAGGAGCACTGGACAGTTGCTCCTATCTTCCCCACCCAGTCTACAGGAGGGGCAGGAACCGCACTTTCTCCAGACTGGGGTGACCTGAAGCTGGCGAAGGCATAGGGAGCCTTTCCCCACCATTTGACTCCTCCTGGCTAGGGACAGACATTACACATAAACCGGTTTAAGTGATCAGAAACTGGTTTAAACCTGTAACAGAACAGATGCTCAGTGCACATAAACCAGTCTGAAAATGGCTGAAACTGGTTTGAGATAAACCTTGTTGAATGTAGTATCAGACTTAACTGATTTGGCTCAAACCAGTTTATGCAATGTCTGTCCCAGACCCCTTGCTGGTTTAAGATAAGTCAGACTCCCCCAGCCTGCTCTCTGGCTGGGCAGGGCTCTCTGTTCCACAGCAGGGCTGGCCCCTCCCCTCTGCTGCTTCGCTGGAGCTTAGCAGTCTCTGCAGGCGTCTGCCTGGCTTCTGCTCCCCACTTTCCCCTTCCCCCACTGGGCTAATCACTCAGGCATTTCTTCATCCCTCACAGACACCTCAGAATTAGCTAGCAGACCACATGCTGGCTACAGTCTATGTTGTGGGAGGTGACAGAGGCAGACAGGCTTTTTGGAGCTATTCAACAGGTAGCTTAATGTCCTTCCTTGGAAATGCTGTTTAAGATCTGTTTGCCCCCCATCCCTCCCCCTCACCACTCCCTGCTAAGCAAGAATCCCCCCCGCCCCGCCTTGCGGAGAAGGTATCTGTGTATTAGCTGGCAGACCACATGCTGGGTCAGTGCTAAATCAACAGGTAACTGGTAATGTCCCACTGTTTTCTTAATGGGGCAATAGACACTGAGATAGGTAGGGGTGACACTGTTATCAGCCCCCCACCCCCAGCTTGCTTGCATGTCAGTTTACTGCAGACAGCATACAGAAGCAGGGAGGGAGATTGAAAAGCTCCGTATCATCAACAGATGCATGCACTGCACATACCCACTTTGCCTTAGTACTAGCTGTGGGCGGCACCACTCCCACTTGTAGAGCAGCAAGCCGGGCAAAGCCTGGGACTGCAGGCAGGCTGGGGGCTTACACCCCTCCCTAATCAGAGCCTCCTGCTGGGACCTGGCCACACCCCCTCAGCTCAGCTCTGCAAGGGAAGGCAGGGCTGCTGTAGCACCCCCTGGCTTCAAGCCTGAAGCACTGCAGGTATGTGCCTGAATTTCCTCAGTCCAGAGGGATTGTCTGTATGGTTGGAAACCGATTCAGCTTAGCCAGGTTAAAGTAACCTGCAAAAGTTGAATCAATTCAGGCTCAGGCTTTTTGAATATCTGTCCCTAGCTCCTGGGACTGGGAAGTGGTGAGCAGTGGAATAGCATACAGACATTCTTCTGTGCAGGAGGAACTCTTCTACAGGATAAATTCATCCCGCAGGAGGCATTTTTGCCATAGCAGAAACTTGATAAGTGCCTGTATGCTTGTGGTTTCTATCAGGAGAGCAGCAATTCTCCCAATAGAAATGTAATGCCTGTACCAGTGTGCATAGTGTACAGAAAACAATGTTGGAAAAACTGTGATGCCTGCTATACAGTTACTGCTATTCCTATGGACTCAAACTGTTTTGTTTTATTACTGGGAAGTTTATTTCAATTCAGTGAAACATCCATTTCTGCAGCTGCTTTTTTTCCAAAGAAAATAGAGCAGGAAAATCTCCCATTACTTTTTAAATTTGTTGCAGAGCAGTATTTAGTGTAAGTAGTGTCTGATGAGAACCAGAAAGCTGAAGGTTGTGTAGAATTTGGGAAGTCTATTTTTCTTTTAATAAATAATTTTTATTCTTTTTTTAGGTGGCAGGACACCTTGCTTTTCTGCATAGAGAACTCAAACTTGAGGGGAAGTAACTTGCAGTGGTTTATTTATTATGCAGTTGTTTTTATATATTGCAGCAAATGCTAAAGAAGTAGACATATACATCCATGAGCTTATCGGACAGCTGAAAAAACTACATCATGCATATGCAATTTAAAAATGGATCACTCACTTTGGAAAAGCTACCAGCTACAATACAGTCCCACTTTCAGGTCCCTGCTTTCAGCGTACAATCAGGAATTTCAGAAGGCAGAGTTTTGTGGGTTATTCACTTACATAGACACAGCAACTGCGAGTGGTAAAATCCTCCCCTGCTGAATGAAATAAGCAACTCCTTGTGATACCTGGTGCTTTTGCAAACAAAGAATCAAGATGACTGATTAATACAGCTGCATCCCAATTCTGTAGGAGAAGTTGGATCCCTTGGTAAAAATCTTTGGTGCACAATTATGCCATGGTCAGTAAGTTTCTCTTACCTGATACCAGCACATGAACTCATCCAGGACTACTAAATAACTGTCTTACTCTTTTCTGAAATTTTCCTGCTGCTGTGTAATTAAAATATTTTTAATTGTGCTAATAACATCTTTGCTTCTAGCTATTTCAAATAATCCACTGCTCTTTTAGACTACGTGCCACAAACCAGAAACATCTTCGTACAAAACAAGTTCTGTTTATCATGAACTTTCATAGGATTTGGGCCTCAGTTGTGGCAGACAAGTACAGCCCACAGAAGTGACCAATGCATGACCACAGCACAACTGGAAATCTTAAAGCAGGGGTTGGCAACATTTTTGGGCAGAGTGCCAAAAACACCCACAAACACTTGTAAGATATTGGCATGCTAGGGGCGGACAGCAAGGAGCTGCAAGGGGCTCGATCCTTGTTGTGGCAGCACAGCCCTAGACCATTCCCCAGTCTCCCCTGAGGCACGCATGCCAAGCAAAATGCCTTCATGTAGCATGCTCTGGCACGTGTGCCGGGGGTTACCTACTAAGGCTGTGCGAAGCTTCAGTCCCTGATTCAATTGGGCAGAGATTCAGTGGCCAAATCTTCAAATCCAAATAGAATCAGAGGACCCTTTAGTCTCTCCAAATCGAATCAGAACCCTCCAAATCGATTTGGAAAGATTCAGAGATTCAGACAGAGAGAGCTTCAAATGTTTTTTCTACATACCTCTAGGTAGCAGGCGGCTCATGAATGCTGCGATCCTAGGGCACATGGAGTGTCCCACAGAAGTGCAGGGGGCTCCCCAGCACACTCAGCAGCAGACCTGGAGGTGGACCAGAAGCACTTCTGGTCCACTTCTGGGTCTGGCAGGGGGGCACCCCCACACCTCCTCCCCTCCCCGCCCCCCCCAACAGCTCAGTGACTGGTGCCTCCTGGGTTTGGGGGGTACACCCTGATCTCCCTGCAGCTGATCACCAAGCCAGGGAGGTGCGGGGAGGCCACCCAGCGCATTCCCCAGCAGACCCAGAACTAGATTTCCAGTTCACTGCCAAGCATGTGCAGGGTGCCCCCACACTCCTGTGGAACAGTACATGCGCCCCAGCAGCGCAGCGATCATGAGCAGCACCTGCTACCTCAAGGTATATAGAAAAAACTTTTAAAGCTGCATCTATGTCCGAATCAGCATCAAATCTTCAGATTCAGCCAAATCAAATCAGAGCCAGTGATCCGAATCAATGAATCACTGTCCCTGATTCGGGCTGAATCTGAATCGAATAGGGACCGCTTTGCACACCCCTATTACCTACCCCCGTCTTAAAGATTTAATACTGCAGACAGTAGTTCCTATATAACGGTAAGTGATCCCCAGATCACATCACCCTTTCTCTCCTTTAATTAGAAGAGTGAGAGGAAGGTAGTCCACAAGAAGTGATGAGGGTTGATAATGGTATATTGACCAAAAGCGAGAGCTTTATGTATGTTTGCCCTGTAGTCTACAGTAACTTCAGAAACAATGCAATGTACCAAAATCAATCTAGCCACAATAGCACAGAGCTCAGATCACGCTGATTTGCTGTACTGCAAAGAGCTAGACTTCCAGTTCCTGAAATGGTTCATGCTGCATACACACATTCAAGCAATCTGGGAGAATTCTCCAATGTTTCTCTGGGTAGAGAAACTTACCCAAAAATGCATGCACAGACATTTGAACGCTGAGGCCCCAAAGAGTGGAGAGTTTGAAGTGCTGACAGTGTGCAGCCAGGGGGGGCTGCCTGGCCATCAATCACAGCAGTCCATAGGGCAGCCCTAATTAGCTGACTTGGACTGCCTATGGTCAGCCTATGCTTCCGTGCAGCCTAATGTGGGGATTGCAAAAGTGAAGTGGTCTGGAGCAGCAGAGTCTAGCAATCAGCACACGGTCTTCTGTGGGGGAGGCTGGAGGACTATATTCTCTTCTGAGAGAAGCCATGGCATATACAGACATTTGCTATCCCTGGAGAAACTCTCCTGGGAGTGATTTAACCCTGGTTGTTCCCAAGTTATTTTTATCCTGGGAGAAAAGCCATTTGTTACCCTGGGAGGAAAAGCCTGAATATCTGTACACTTGTGGTTTCTCTTGGGGGAGCAGTCATCACACCAAGCATCATCAAGCCCTTGCCTCCACCATAACTGCTTTCACACCAGTGCAGAGGCCATACAGTTAAAACCACATTAGTTTAGTTTATGGGTTTCTATACATTTTATACACAATGCAGCAACTTTGAAAAGCTGCAACAGACACTCTGTTCACAGCATTTACCTGAATAACATACATTCTGTTGTATCACACATGTCCAAAAACTTAGCAATTCATATAAAGTAAATCAAAGGCACTAGAATAACATGCTTTTTCTGCCACAAAACACTTCAGTTGAAAAGCCTCCATAGTATGAACTGGCCGGCTAGTTTTATATTCAAGGATCAGCCCTTCACCCTTAGCAGTTTTAATTGTTGTAGTATTTACAACTTTACCATTATTGCTAAAATTTGTGCTTAATCTTATAGTAGCTTCAGTTGGAAGCTCAGGAACCACAGTTTTTAGGTTTGTTGTTGACTCCCATCCAAAATTGAGAACCATCATAAAGACTCTGTCTAAGCCATCTAATTCCCTCACATATGCAAAGACATTACTGTCATTCCAGACATAGCACATCCATCCCCTCTGAATGGGCAACTCATTGTTATGAAGCAGAGTTAGCTCTCGATACAAATTCAATGTTGAATTGGGCTGAGTCTTTTGAATCTGTAACAAAATTGTCAGTATTAGCACAATCATTTCATTTCTTCCTCACTAGAAACCAAAAATGTTGCTTTAAACTACTGAAGTTCTTGCCACATCACCCCTACACATTATTTAAAATACCACTGCCAAGATTATCCTCTTCACCTGTCGTCTTTTCACTCCCTCCCTGCTCCCCTCTCATATCCCTCCATGGATTGCAGGTGAAGCCATATGTGTTCCTTCCTTTTGACAACCTTCCCGTACAGATCTGCTCTTGAGCATGTCCAGATGAGTGCAGATGTGTGGTATGTGGCACCACACACCCATCTGTGGCGCCACACACTGCACATGCAGGTGCCCTGTGGGGTGGAGGGAGGAGGAATTTTGACCCCAGGAGATACGTGGTCAAAAAGCCCACACCAGAAAAAAGCTGGGTGGCACACGTGGCATCATGCACCACTCAAAACTGGAGGCTGGCTGGCCAGAGCCACACTCCAGCTGCTGGCCAGGCTTCCTGCTGCAGGAGCACACAGCTGCAGCTCCCAGAGGCCCCCAGGACTCCAGGTAAGGCTGCTGGTTCCCTACCCCACCAGGGTAACCTGCCACACGCCAAAGCACATGGTACAGGCATTCCCCGGGGACAAGTAGCAGCAGCACAAGGTGTGCCACTGCTATTTGCCCCCAGGGAAATGCATGTTCCTGCTCATCTGGATGCATCCCTTTTATCCATTCCTTCCTTGTCATTTTACCATCCATGGTAGATTTCTTCCCTCCTATAACTGCCCTTGCTCCCAAACCTGCTAACATACCATGAAATCATAGCTTTTAAATGACAGAATCAAAGACTTGATCTTGTTGGCATTGATTTGAAAGGCAAATCTCCAGTTGACTTCACTGGTGCAGATTAACCCCACAAAGGCTTAATTTCTAGTGCCTTTTCCTCACTACTGTTCGCTATTGTGGATCAACGATATTTTTTTCTTGATCCACTTCACATAAAGGTTGTTAACACAGCTTTCCATAGACAAACCAACGTATGCAAAGCCATAAATACATCTGGGTTGTTTTAAGGCTAAATGTAAAAGGCATTCTTATATTAATCTAAATTTAAAAGTGGAGCAATTCAGTTAACTGGTGAGAGAATAAGTAAATTAGAAAAAAATATCTCTGACATCACTGTTCTGATGAAAATGGCTATAGATATGAAGGACTTCTTGCAGTAAGGTTTCTTTCATATACAATTTGTTATGGATTTATAAATCTTTGGGTTTAGATTCAAATTAGTTACAATTAGCCAAATCCCACTAAGCAAAACACATAAGATAACGAAATAGATTCATTTATTGAAATGACCCCTTTTGGAATTAATTGGGTTGTGTCCATATCTTGAATACTTACTTCAACATTTACATTTTGATAGTGTGGATTAACAGGTAGCCAGGTTACGTTGCCCTCACTAAAACCAGAATGAAGGCTGCCATCCCATTGCATGGGTGACTTCTCTGCAAAAGTCATCTTAAAAAAGAAAAAGGAATCAGTCACCATTCAAAAATACATAAGTACTACAGTATGATCCAGATCTTTCCAAGATCTTTTCTTTACATCAAGACTCTCTAATCTCTGAGGCGGGGAGTGTAGTTATTCTCCTGAGAAGACTGTTGTGTGTAAAATGTTTTATATAGAGTCCAATAACCTCTCCCCACCCAAATGAACCCATAACCTGGTGACCAGGGCACACTCCAGGAAGGTGGGAGATGTGCATTTGAACAGTATCAGGCTAAGTAGGACACACAACCTGGGCCTGGCACTTCCTGGGGAATGTTCTACTACGTAACAGGTGGGCATGATTATCACTACAGTACTACCTCCTCCAGCTATGGCCTTTTTGAAAATAAAGTGGCCACAACCACATTTATTTTTCAGAAAGACGAATCTTCTACATAACTGGGCGCATTCTTAAAATGTCTAATGAATAAGGCCCATTAGGAAGTAAGGAAGCACTGTCTGCCCTCTGGGTCCCAGACAGGCATAGGATGAAGACAGGCCCTGAGCCTCGCAAACTAAGGGGTTCTGGATCCGCACAGAATTTTGACTCCAAGATGAACATGAGCCGCCAATGCCAGACCGCAACCAGCAAAGCCAACCGCACCTTGTCGTGCATCCAAAGATGCATCTCAAGCCATTCCAGAGATGTGATACTCCCCCTCTATGCGACATTGGTCCAACCCCAATTGGAGTACTGTGTCCAGTTCTGGGCAACGCACTTTAAGAAGGATGTGGCCTGCCTTGAAGGTTCAGAGGGCCACCCGCTTGGTTGGAGGGCAACAGACCTCAGCAAATGGAGGCTGAGGGGGGATTTGGTGGATGCCTACAAACTCGTTAGGGGAGATCAGCAGCAAATAGGAAGGGCCCTATTCCCCCCAGCAGCACCTGGGGTGACAAGGAACAATGGCCAGAAGCTGCTGGAGAATAGGTTCAGGTTAGAGAGTAGGAGGCACTATTTCACTGTTAGGGTGGCTAGGATCTGGAACCAACTTCCTAGGGAAGTGGTCCTCACTCCTACCGTGGGCAAATTCAAAAAGAGATTGGATGAACACCTGTCTGGGGTCATGTGATCCCAGCGTGTGCTCCGACCAGTGGTGGGGGATCAGATTAGATGATCTATTTAGGTTCCTTCTGACCCCAAACTACTATGAAACTATGAAACAGAATGACAACTTTAGGTGCCTGGAGAACTTCCAAGTTACCTGGTGAGTTTAGGCACGTTCAGAGTTAGAAGCTGAAAAAGGGCTTTTGGATCATGGTATCTGACTTGGGCTTCAAGTCTTTGTAAGCTCTGCTTTAGGTACTTAATTCCTTTACTGAATCAAACCAAAATTTCTAACTAATAAATACTGTAA